TGGCTGTTTCCAGTGTCCTGTACAGATAGAGTTTAAAGGCTTTGTTCTGGGTGCCTAGAGCTTTCCACCTTCCAGGTAATGCACCAAGATGAGTTAATCGGGTGTCATTTCCAATAGCAGTAGCAGGGACTGTCTCAGATGGGATCTCTAGCTCTCAGTTTCAGACTACCTGCTTCCCAACCACGTGACAAGTGTCTGGGCCTCAGACTTCTAAGTCACCCATTTCTTTCCCCAGCTGTTCAGCTTGGTTTGGGTGCCAGAGCTTTTGGTTTCTTGGCATAAGCCTGTAGCTGCTCCCTGCTTGGCTTCTGTTCTGCTCAGACCCTGGTGCCCACACTCTGTGTGGGTGTGGGAAGAATCGATGTTTTTCCGCTGAAGTGTTTTGATGGAGCTGGAATGCAGTTTCCTACCCAGAATAGGACATTAATGCTGTAGTCACAGGATGCAGCCTTCCCCAATGACCATGAATGATCAAGTCTCTGTCCGGAATTCACCTTCTTTCTAGAAGCAAGAGGCTTTCCCAAGAAAATTGGAGATGGGAAGAGCCATGGTCTGATGATCAAGATTTCCTCATTTCTTGATAGAAAATGAGGTTAATTTTTATTCTCCTTAAATTTATCAGCAGAGTGACTTTGAAGTAAGCTTATGGGATTGGTAGGATCCCTGGGAGCAGCTAGCCTCCCCTGCGTTATGTGGAGCCTCTAAGGAGTCCTGAGTACCTCTCACCTTTGCTGTGAGAGGTTCTAATTTCATCAGACTTAAACTGTCCCCATCAGTGACGTGTCACTAGAATTGCCTCAGGGCTATGGGAGTTGGATATGCTTTCACCTCTCTGGGACTACTTCTTTCAGGAGACTGTTCCACGGGAGCTAGCATTCCCCATTTGTCGCTGGAGGTGGATGCCAAACCATTTGCTCATAGTTTACGCTCCTTAAATACTTCTTTGGTGCCTATTGCAAGTATCTTGGAGCTGAATCAAGTGCAGTCTCTCCAGTGCAGTATCCAGAGCAAGGGTCATACCGGTGTGCCCGTCCGTTGTTAACGGAGGCAGGGCAGGAGGACAACCCTCCTGGGAGGTGGTGAACGTCGGGTGCCCTGGCATAGCCACACCGCTCCTTTGCCTTTGTGACTCTGCTCTCCTTTCCCCTGTGCGCGTTGGAGCCAGTTCTCAGGTCAGGGTCCCGGCTTGGGAGTTGTTGCAGTTGGAAACAATGGAGTTGGTCATGTTGCAGCAGTGCCTTTGAGGAGTGAAGAGTTGAGCCTGAGCCATGTCCAATAAGCAAGCACCAAGCTGATGGGAGTCGCTCTCCTGCAGTGCACTGCTATCCTCATTTCTCAATGCTCTGCAGTTGGGAAGCTAGGTGCACAGACTGGATTCCCCTTGGATCTAGTGGAGGATTAGGGTTCCTGACAGAGGATGCCCTGTGCTCTGCAATCTCATATGTGCCTTAGAGGATTCACGCTATCCAGGTTGTGCCTGTTACAGACCACAGATTTCACACCAGCCAGCTACGCAACCAAAAAGCAGTTTAAAGCCAGCACCTTTGTCTTGGGCTGAAAATGGAAGGGCAAATGGGCAGAAGTGCCTTTTGAGCAGTTTCAAACCTTTTTTACTTCTCCCCTTCTTGCAGTGCTAGCTCCCTATGTGTTGGTCTCCTGCTAGTATTGCTACTGAGTTGTTATAGTGGAACACAAGTTATGCCTGCTTTGACACTCTGGCTGAAAACTAGTTTGTCATTGTCTTTTTGTTTGTTTGTTTGCTTTTTTGAAAGGTTAAAGGGTGGAGTGGTTTGGAGTTTCTGTTTAAATAAATGTTTAAACTCATGCTCCTGTGTTCAGTCTTCTTTGCTATGGGAAAAAATGTCAGGTTTTCTGTCCCTTCATTAAAAACCCAAAGAAACAACAAAACAACTCTTTTCTCTTGCTGTTGCATCTCCTCCTAGTGACATCAGCGAGCTCCTGTACGTGTGTTTATTTCAACAGTAGGAACGCCAAATGGGAAATGAGTAACAGGAAGAGAGAGCTTCAAAGGGAAAGAAGTACCTGTTCTCTCCAACAGCTTCTAGGAAGCTTTAAGGCCTACAGAAGGGAGAACCTGCCTGACACCTGCTCAGCCAACTGTTCCTGTCACTTTTAACTTTTTATTGGAGTTTTTAGTAAGTTGTGAAATGTCTTGAGAGGCAAAGCTGGGTTAAAGACTTAAAATTCACCAGAGATTTGGACTGAAAATGCATCATGTCTCTGAGAGGGGGATTGTACTGCAGTAGCAGAAGAGGAAGCTGAGCTGGTGTGAACGACATAAGCTGAGTAGTGCCAAGGAACACTAACCATGATGGCAAAATGGCAGTGTAAATCTGTGCTGAGCCTGATACTTTGGCTAAGCGGTTACTAAGTTTTAAACCAGTTATCAGAGACTTTCTGGATACTGCTGTCTTGATGACCTGAAACAATAGCTCAGCAACGAGGGGTCAGCTGCCTGTAATTCTGAAGCAAAGATAACAAATGAAGCCTGGCAATTTAATGTCAGTAACTTTTATCTACAGTCTCAATCTCAGCATTAGGTGTTGGCCTGTCACTTCAGAGAAGTTGCTGACAGATGGATTTTACAGTATGAAAAGCTTTTCTATCCCAGTCACCGTTTGCACTTTGCTGACTTTTAGGGTCCACTAAATACAGTCAATAAAACGTAGTGCAAGGGAAATGGAGTTAATATAACAAGACAGGCAGGGGTACTGAATTTCGTAACTACTTTGTTTAACTGTTACACCTTTCATTAACTCAAGGGGGCTGGCATAAAGTTCCAGTTTACCTGTTTCCTACCTCTTGCTATCCTGTATTTTGAAGCTCTGAAGTTAAATCATTGATCTTGCTTCTGTGATCAATTTCGATATAGCAAATTATTTTCCCTTGTTTCAAGTCTGTTTTTTCATTGCTCTCTAGGTTTGTACACTCATACCTGGCTGGCACAGGGCAGGACTGACCCATTCTGGGACCTTCACACTTTTCTAGGGTGTGTCAAGGGCACATATTTATAGGACAGAAGCTCTCCAACTGTTTTCAGGGGTCAGGTCCCCCCCCACTGAAGGCTGGAGTGTTTCCTCGTACTCAGCTTCTGGCTAGTCCAGTTTAATCTAGTAGCGTTTCATCTTTGCTAGGTTCCCATGAGTTGCTGCTGCTTCATTATTGAAGGACTTGCAAAAGGAGCTGACAGAATTTTTTTGTTCCTGGTTTGCTTCTTGTTGCAACTTTCTCATACAAAGTAGTCATTCTTACTTCAAGAATGAACAAACTACTCTGTGACCATTTGAAAACAACTTTTACACAACAGAATTAGTTTAATATATTAAAAATCAGAATCTGGAAAAATAACAGTCTTAGAAATGTGTAGGAACTGTCACCAATTATAAGCAGATAATTATCTCAAAATGTCCACAGAACACTTATTTCCCCCAAAAGACCCTTTAACAGTGAGTGACAAAGACCTTTAGCATGAGGCCAAAATCACCAAGAACTACCTTGCATCTCAAGAAGAAAGCAAAAGAAGGGGTATGGTTTTGTCCTAATTCCCTACCATAAAAGCAGCTAAGATGAAAGTAAACAGATGACTGAAGGGTGCAAGCCTTATGTTTTAAACAACAGTTCCTAATTTCTAACTCCTGCCGTGTGCTGCCTTCCATGATCTTCTCCAAGACCGTCTTGAAACAATGTAGGTTCCTTGCCTGTGCTAATCTCTTTGTAAGGTTTTTCCATGACCTCACTCTCTCCTGTTAGAAAGCTGATTTCCAGTCTGAGATTATTCATGACCTATTTTTGATCTTGTGTGGCATTATTCTTTAAGTAAGTGTTTCTTCTTCCGCCCTTTCCCGACTCCGAGTCCCAGCTATTGTATGTGGCAAGTAACACGTTGGGATGGTTGTTCTGGCCGGTTCAGAGTATCTCTGCTGTTTTGTGTACATGAATTGACACGGACTCAAACGGTAAGTGCTGCTACTGCTAGCTTTTTGAATGCCCTGAATTTCTGATCTTGAGCTGCTTATATTGAGAAAGCATCTACTACCCCTCCTGGGTCTCCTAACTCAGTGTTATGCTGGATTTCTAAATGGTAATATTACAGATCTTCAGCTGGTAAGTCTGTCACTAGTATTCTAGAAAAGCATCTAAAGAAACTCATAGGCTGCTGCAGAACAAGTGTAGAAAGAACTTTCCTACACAGCTTTAATTATTCAACTGAAAAATCAGTGCTACAATAGCACAGAGCTTCCACATTGCTTCCTCCCCTCTGTCTTGAGTTCTCCAAATGCCTCATCTAAACCCTTAATAGTTCTGAAGAATGTGGAATTCTTTCTATGGTAAAAAAAAAAAATAAAGGCACCCCTTGCACCGCAACTTCTAGTAGGTACCTACAGTAGAAATGCTACAGCAGCCAGAACCACTGTCACTGTTAGCATGTTCAGGGGTGAACATCTGCACCTACAGAGCAATAGGGAAAACAAAAGGCTGATGCTCTGTTTGGCCCAGCTCTTCTTCTCATGAATGGCATTACTACTTTTGTAGAAGGAAAAACCTGAGGCTGCAGCCATGGATAAGCTAAAGGACAGCAGCTGTCTCCTTATTAGACACCACTAGTTGTTTAAAAATAAACCCAACCAAACCCACAACAAAACTCAAGCCTTCTTAACCTACAGGCAAAACACAGTTCTGAAGAGCAGCCCCTTTTTGATAGCTGGTCTCCTGCCGCACTGACATCCTTTCTTCCCTGCTCAGCTGGCTGAACACTGAAGCCCTGTGTTGAGCTCACAGGATGGGAGAAGCAGTCCCAGAGGGGTGTCCTGCACAGGGCAACCCAGGACACAGGTCAAAGTACACAAGTTTTGGTATTCACTTATGTACCCAAGCTGTTAACTTGCTGTACATACAAGCTCAACACTTGCAGTCATTGCTGAGACTAGGGAAAGCAAGAGTGTCTGTGCCTGGAAACCTGGCAGAAAAAAGGTATGGAATCACAGCGGCGGGTACAGTTGGACACTGCCTCTGCAGCGCCTCCTCTGTGGTGGGGGTGGAGGCCTATTCTTGATGGTCTTGCATTTGGGAACATGTCTCTCAGCTACCCGGGGAGCAAATCGGCGTGTGCAGTAGGGGCAGGCAACATAGTCTGGGTTTTCGATGGGAGGCATCTGGGGGACTTCAGACACCTTCCCTCCCTTGCTGAGGACTTGCTGCACCTTGCGGGCCTCACGCATGGTCCGGATGAGAGCTGCATGCTTCTGTTTCCTGTTGTTCTCTCTGAGTGACTTACTCTGCAGAAGGGAAAGGCAGTCAGAGCAACTGGCACCACCATCAGCCTCCATTCCTAACCTTACACTCGGGGCCCAACCCAGGTGACCCATACCTGGACATTCCCTGTTGATGTAAAACACTTCCTGAGAAGCTGAGTCCCACAGACGAGAACAAAAAGACCATCACCAAGGACGATTTGGAGGAAATACTGATAGAAACATCAATACTTGGGAACAGCTTGAGTATAACCAGAAAAGCAAGCAGGAGGGCCAAGGAATCAGAAAGAATTGCTATAGCTGCTCTGCAGAAACAGAGATGTATGTTTCCGTTGCCTTCATTTTCATAGCCTGGGTTTTCAGTCAGTTCCATGCGTGCCACAGAGTTTTACTGCAGCAGACCCAGTCTGCATCCTGACTACAGCAAGGAATGAGCTTTCTCCAGAAGTACACCCTTGACACATTACAGAGACAAGTCAGTTAGGACCCCAGCCTCCTATCTGTTAGATTTAAAATGGATCTATTCATACATTTGGCAAGAACCTTCCAGAAGCAATAACTGCATTGTATCCCTTAGCCCTGTGTACTTTTGAAGGTGCTTGCATCTCAGTCAGAATTAGATATCAAGGTGGAAGGAATGTGAGCAGTAGATGTGGGTCAAGGGAGGCAAAGGGACTGCATGTTACCTCAGGCCCCTCTGAGTCCTTCAGTTGCTGATACTCTTCCAGGTCTGTGCCCTTAGCTCTGGCCTTGCTGGAGTCAAACACTTCCCTCCTGGAGCCTTGGATTTTGCTGCAGATACTTATGTGCTTCTCAAGCCTGGTGCAGAGGAAATTACGTCCACAGACGCTGCACTGTCCAAGCTTCCCCTGCTCAACAGCACTGTCAGCCTGCATGCATAGCACCTTTGTGGATGGGTGGTCAACAGAAACTCGGTCTGAGATGGCAGAGGGAGAAAAGACACATTTTGGGGCTGGCTTTGAACAAGAGGCTAAATGTTCCATGGGTGCGTGGCCTTGAATTTTGCTGTTGCTGGCTGCCAGCCTCTCCTTCTTGTGTTTCCTCATAGCCAGCTCCTGGGGGCAGAGGGTGGTGCCAGGCTCGGGGATAGCAGCATCTGCAGACTGCGCCCCGTGCAAGACCCCATCGTCCGGCCTGATTGCAGCTCTGAAGATTTTCTCCTGTGGGTGCATTGTGGTCCTTTGCTTATGGGTCGTCCCCACTTCTGGGTACCTTCTCTCCCCTGCCTCAGCAAGCTCTTTCTCTCTTTGAATCCTCCTAAGCACCTCCTTTGTTCTCTTCAGCTTCTCTCTGAGGAGGGCCTCTTGCTGCCGGATTTTCTTTTCCAGCTTCCGTCCATCTGCCTCCAACTTTTCGATGTAGGCCAGCTTTCCCCTGTATGGGGAGGCTGACTGTTTAGGTTCTGCTGGCCAAGGAGAGAGCACTGCATCTGGCTGATACCTCCCTTTGCTCATTAAGCTATGGCTGCTATTTGGAGCTTCCTCCACGTATGGGGCACTTCCAAGCTGTGCTGTGTTGACCACCGCAACATTCATACCTTGCTGGTGAACAATTGGTTTCAGGGGATATGCGCGGTCCACTCCTTCTTTCCGTCTGGCTAATGATTTAGATGGTGGAATCTTGATCTGGCTGGTGTTCTGCAGTCCACCGAAACAGGAATCTCCATGCCTGGAGATGTATTGACTGTTTTCTTCAGCAAGAGGATATGAATATCTTTGGCTCTTGCAGGCACAGAGATCCTTTAAACCCTCCTCTTTACCGGGTATGAGTTTATGTTGAAAGTTGTTCTTCTGGTGCTCCAGCTGGGAAATGGGAACAGGTTTAGTAGCTGCCATCACAGAATCCACTGGTGAAAACCAAGTCATTCAGTGCCGGAGAAAGAATCTGAGGTTAGAAGCAAAGTCATTACAGACTATCTTCAAAAAATGGACACTTTTTACTCCAACAATCTATACCTGGAGGCTACAATGAGAAGCTATAATAAATATTAGCAAAGGTTTTGTAACTCTTCTGGATTCTGTAAATCTTTACATTCCTTTCATCTAGGAAGCTCCCATACTGCCAGTCCCAATTGCTTATGCAGCCAGAAATAAGGTAGGATTTTATTTTACTTTCTGTTGGAGCCCTGCCTTACCCTAGTAGCAGCTGAAATATGCTGTACCGCCAGAGAAATTGCTGCACTCCCCCAACGTATTTCCCATAACGCGTCCGTTCAGTTTTGGCACTGTAGCCCTGCCAGTATGGCTCTGACACGCACTGTCGAGTAAAGCTCAGCACAGTATTCCCGTGGCTCGTTCTCCCACATCCCCTGAGATGCAAGAGGTGCCCTCACACCCCGTGAGACGAGCGGGATTACCTCGGCCTCCTGGGCGCTGCCACCCACCCGTTTACAGGTCTGACACGGCCGCAGGGCGCGTCCGCGTCCTGCCCGCACACAGCGCGGCCCGGAGCCGGCGGTTGCCTAGAGACGGGCAAGCGAACGCCACTTCCTGCGCTGCTCTGGCCAGCGATTGGCCGCTCGGTGGTCTCTCCGCGCCGCGCCCCTCCCATGTGTTCTGCGGAGAGCCCCGCCTCTATGGCCGAACAAAGCGGCCGCCGGGGAAGGGGGTGGGGCATCCTTCATGAGGCGGTTTATGAGGGACCGGCCCTGGCTCTT